GAGTACTTACGCGAGAATTACGTTATTCCGAATTACTATTACGATTGCGATTATCACAGGGTGCCCAGGCCTGGACACAGTATTCTAGGTGGGGTCTCACCAGTGCCTTATACAGCAGGATAAAGACTTCTGCCTTCCTATTGATCAGTGTATTTCTCAACTGCAATAAGTGACCTCTCGCTCTTTGTACTGCAGCTTTGCACTGTTTGCCTGGCTTGTAATTTTCGGAGACTACTATCCCTAAGTCCTTGGTTTGGGCTACGCGTGTTAGTTCGGTGGTTTCCGCCTCCGTGCTTACTCTAACTGGACCGCCGTCCGTGTTCAATGTGAGACTTAGACGGGTTTTGGTTTAGGTCCCACATCTGAGTCTACCAAATAACCTTTGTTAGGTCGTCCTGAGTTAACTAACTTTATATCGTCAGCAAACATAAAAGTCGGGAGAGAGAAACCCCTAACTAAGTCATCGACGTAAGGCAGGAAAAGTATCGGGCCTAGGACGGAGCCCTGTGCAACCCCACTGGTGACTTCCCTCCGTTGATATTGCCTCTCCTACCCGCACCCTGAAGGTCCACCTGTTCAAAACCGTCCCTATATATTTAAGCAGGGTCCCAGGAAGGCCAAAGTTCTCGAGCATTTTAAGGAGTAATCGGTGATTAACCGAGTCAAGAGTCAACCTGGTCAACCAGAAGAGATCCATTATGGTATAATCAAGCCCATAGCTGACATCCTCGCAGGACCGGTGTATAAGTTATTCAAAGCTTCATTAGATCAGTATGTCCTACCGAGAGACTGGAAGGTAGCAGCGGTGGTAGTCATATATAAGGGGGGAGCCCGAACAGAGTTAGGTAACTACAGGCCAGTGAGTCTAACTAGTATCTTGTGTAAGGCGCTAGAAAAGATTATTCGCACCCGTATATGCCAGCACCTATGCTGTGTCCAACTCAACACGGAGTTATCAAAGCTATATCCTGTTTGACTAATCTACTGTGCTTCTTGGACGAAGGTATCAGAAGATTGGAAGAGGGACACAGTGTAGATGTGCGTTATCTTGACTTTAGCAAGGCGTTTGACTCAGTTAATCAACGCCTGCTACTGGTCAAAATAGAGGCGTTCAGGTTTAAACGGACAAATCTACCAATGATTGAGAGACTTCGTCACAAACAGGACCTTATACGTCAGAGTAGGTGACAAGTGCTCTTGTACAGCATTCGTCACAAGTGATATACCCCAGGGCTCCGTAAAGGTCAGTTGTTGTTCCTGCCTTTCCTAAACAACCTTGCTGTGCTGCTGACATCGCCCGCCTTTTTCTTCGCGGAGGATGTCAAGATGGTTGGATCTAAAGGAAGAGCGAACCTAAAAAGTGACATAACTGCTGCCCTTAGCTGGGCGCAGAAGTGGGAATTTGCCGCTGAATGCTGGTAAAACCCAGTTGCTATGACGGACTGTCCAAAGCTTGACAGTAGTGCAATACCAGGGTCCGTTCACCATAGAACCGGTTAGTAAGGTGAAGGACCTGGGTACTGTCGTAACCTCCGAATTCCGCTGGGCTCAGCAGTGCGTGGCAGCCGCGAATAAGGCTCGCAGAGAACTCTTCAAATTGAGGTCAGCATTGTCTTGCAGAAAACCGGAGGTGTTTGTGCCTCTCTACAAAGCTATAGTTAGACCTCACCTCGAGTACTGTATGCAGGCATGGTCACCCTTCTTCAAAAAGGATGCCGCCTGTTTAGAGCGCGTTCAGCAACTGGGAACGAAAATGGTTGAGGGTCAGCAACGTAAAGGCTACATGTAAAGCCTTCGGGACCTGGGACTATTCTCTTTAGAAAAGAGAAGGCTCAGGGGAGATATGATAGAACTATTTAAGAAAATGAAAGGTTTCTCTGGCATTAGACCAGAAACCCTGTTCCAGGAAGCACTAGATTTCCGTACAAGGGGCACCAAATGAAGCTAGCCAAGACCCGGTCTCTATTAATAGCCCGGTCACACTTCTTCAGCAACAAGCAAGTCAACATATGGAACAGACTACCAGTGGAGCTAGCAGAACTGCAGACGGTGCAATTGTTGTAACCAATCACATCCCGTTCTCAATGTACATTTCCTCCTGTGCATCTCATTGTTTTATCACACCAAGGCCACCTTTTCGGTCAGCACGTGTTTGCTTTCACTTTCCGCACGCTTGCTCACGCCTCTGTATCTCTCTCTTGCTCTGCAGGTCTTTATAATACACGTCGTCCTCCGTTTCGTGAATCGCCTCGTTCTCTCCTCGTACGAACGTACGTTTGCGACCTATACGTATTAGCCCGGGGTACCGATAACCTAGTACTTACAAATTGGTGAGCCCTCATTTTATTTTATTTACGTTGGAGAATTGTCGTTTTCGGAGGAATTTTAATTTCTCTAGGTCACGTTTGTGCTAAATTTTCCGTGTATTTATTTTCACGGAAACACTCTCGTGGGTGTAATTTTAGATTATATTCACCCCCAGTTTGCGGTTTTATCATCATTTACTATTGCATTTTTTCCATTTTCGTTTTTCCAAAGTAGTTTGTATTTTAGGTGCTATTCGGTAATATTTTTGTATCCCGTTCGAAAATCGCATATTGTATACTTGCGCTTGAGTATGATTAGCCCCGACCATAAGCGCTCCATAGACAGCGAGGCACTCTGGGCCCAAATCAGGGCTCCTGAGCTCATGCCAGAGGACCCAGAAGCATTCCTCGCACTTCTGGAATCGCGATTCCATGAAGCTGGCATCACCGGGCAACTATCTCGTTATCATAAGTTATTATCCGCGATCCCGCGCGACATGCTTATCAACTTCAGGGATATTTACATGAATATCCCTGCGCACAACCCGTACGACGTGCTCAAAAAGCACTTCTTCGTTCGTATGGCAGTTTCCGAAGAGAAACGCATCCAGCTCCTCCTGTCAGGGATCCAATTGGGAAACCTCAAACCGTCCCAGTTGCTGCGCCAAATGCGCGCGTTAGTCGGCAACACCACACTGGACGACTCCGTACTACGCCAGATTTGGCTTCAAAGGCTTCCGCCATACGTTCAGAGTATTCTGAATGTCTTCGCACATGCCCATAGCCTAGACGAACTAGCGGAGGCCGCTGACCGAGCAATGGAGCAGGCCCAGCTTTTTCAGCCCACAATGGCCAACGTGGGAAGCCCTGA